GAAAGCAGTTGTTGATCTAGTAATTCAGAGAAATGTTTACTATGGTTACCCTGAAAATATGTTGGTTGCTATGTTTGTGAATGACCATGAACATGTAAACAAGCTGGCCCTTCAAAGAATAATGGCTGCCAGAGCAGCAAGACACAGTTGCACAGACATTAGTTATTTCAGAATTCCCAAAATGAATTTCAATGTATCTGACAACTTTGATTTAATCGTTGACTGGTAATATGATGGAATGCTAGAACCTGCCTTAACCCAACATATCTCTGATGAAGAGCTCATGCAGTTGGTAAATCAGGAAGAGATTGCACCAAAATTAGAGTTTCATCAGTTTACTTGTCATACTCAAGCCATAGAACAAGAAGTACATCTTGTTACTGAAGCTACAGTTTGTGGACTTGAGAGCTGATACAGGTTTATTTGTGCACATTTAAGATCAAGATAAATTATGCCTCATTCCAACACCAGGGTAGATGGGGTGGAACCTGATGTGCAATCACCTCCACATAGTGGGTTTTGGGTATTTTCAGCCACATAACGGTCGAATTCAGCAAATAGTTGCATACAAGTGCCAACTAATGCTTTAAAATGATCTGCAGTTTTATCGAATGACATACACATTTTCAATACACTTGCAGAACCAGAATACCAATGCATAGGATAAAGATATTTTAACAGTGAATTACTGACATTATCATGCAACTTTTGCACCCCTGGTGAAATTGATTAGCAAAAATTTTAGTTTTCATCCCACTCTAATACTTTATATCCAAGTTCTTGACTTTGTTTTTCCAAATAGGGATTTATACTGTTTAAAATCTTACATTCTTGTAGATACCAGAATTCAAATAGTCATTTTTTATAACATTGTAGTCATCAAATAATGTTTATGAATAATTCAAAAATTGAATAAACAGTTAACATGTAAAAGTGAATAAGTTACACATTTAGAAAAAACATAAAAATCAGCATATTTCCTATGGCTGTATTTTATAATTAACTTGGTGAGAACTCAACTATTTAGACCAGTATTTTATGTCTTCCAATTTATTATCATTTGGAAGATTATAATTTACAAGGGAATTAAATAAAAACACTGAACTATTTAGTTTTTTAGTATCAATGAGTTTAAATGTAAACTTATTTTAACCCTAATCTTTGTCTCAGTTATTACCTTTTACTTTTCTTTATAATTACAACTAGCTTTAAAATTAGTTTTTGGATTTCTAGGTTATTAGCAAATTTCTTATATGTGATAACCAAATTTGTTATGAACTGTTCTTCACATTACCAGTTTTAATTTATTAGTTTGAAAACAATGTCTAAATAATAGCTTACTTCATGATATGGCTCAATAAAAGTCTGGATCTAGTATAGTTTTGCAGAATGATTGAGGCGAAATGTTAGAATTACTAATGGTATAATTATCTGGACTATTATTCTCATCTTTACTATGTGTATCATTATTTTCACAACAATTCAACCAGTGAATTCTCCAGTCATAGCATTCACTAGTCGAAATGTTGTGAAAATAATACACATAATGAAGACAAGAATAATAGTCTGAATAATTATCCCAATAGTAATTCTGGATCCAGTGTAATGTTTTTTTTAACAAGAGAACAATTGATCACCCTAAAGCCTTAGAGTAAGCAAGAGTTTTTCTTCTTGTAATTGAGCAATTGAGGGTGCTTAACCTAATAAAAGCATAACAGTTGCCATGCTATGGTTAACTACAAGAGAAACTGTTGGTTTTATCTGAACATGAAAAGTGGAAGATAAGTAAACTGGGTTCTAGTGAATGTGGTCACACAATCTAGATATTAGTGTTTCAGTGCTATTGGTTACAATTAGTAGAATGAGATACAGGTAATTTTTATGTTATTCCAAGTTAGATGAAGAACTGAGATTAAAGTTCAAATGTAATTTTGGAAGAAATAAAAATTATTTTTTCAATCAAAAAAGACTTAATTAGTTATTTTGGTATTATATTTGAGACGTGTATCATTTACTACAGTAGTTTAAACTTGGCATTATGTACATAATGTGCATATTCAGCAAAAAGTGTTCTTTGTTAGAGCTTTCCATAATCTGTAGCCATTATTACAATTTGTAGCATGTTTAAATTAAAATATAAAGAACTTTTGACCTAGAGTAATACTTTTTCTATATTTTTAATTAACAAGAATATGGTATCAACTAGGCTATCAATTTAATGAAATACATTATTATATTTTCTGTACTAATTTACATGTATCTGAAACAAATACTAATAAATATTGAAGCAAATTCTATAATTCACAAACTGATTATGAGTACCTAACATCAAATCAATACACTAGAAAAGAAACTTCTAATGATTAGAAGGCACTAAATTATCAGTTAGGCATCCTCACTATTAGATATTTTTGGCTGTAATATGAATAATAGCTCATGAAGTTTAACCAGTTAAGAGACTTTGTCATTCCTCATATGGTTCAACCAGTTTAGGATATTTTGGTTAATTCTAAATCCATATACTAAATCAAAGCAAAACTTTCATTTCTACTTTAAGAACTTTTAAGGGTAAGTGGCTTCCCACAACTGGCTGCAGACAGCAAAGGGTAGTAGGAGTTGAGACGTTGTGTGGGTGTAAGCACTCAACTCCATACCCTTAATTGATTTTCCACGTTTGCTGGCTAGTTTAACATAAGAGTTTGGATTTTGTCCAATAGATAGGATATCCCCAACACATTTGGGAGCTTTTGCTATATGCATTAACCACTATTACATTAAGGTGACAACTAGGACTGACAAAGGAATTTTTACCAAAATCTTTTTAATGATTATTTTATATTAAATTCATTATTGTTTTATAATGCTAATTTTAATCACCTATTAACAATTAATGCAATTAATAGTACTGAAGCTATTTATTTCATTATATATATATATATATATATATATATATATATATATATA